GAAGGGGAGGGGGGAGGGAGTAGAAAGGAGGAGGGCGGGGAGGAAAGGCGGTTGGTCGTAATCTAATATGGGGTCAGCAAAAGTAGGATTACAGTTGTGAGACAGCAGATCAGTTTATTCTTGTATTATTAATTATTGTAGCATTTCCATACGAACCACTGTAACCTTGCTTTTGCCCAGCCCTGTATAGATTCAGTACGTGCTGTACAGATAGGAGCACTCTGGTGACGCGGTGAAGGTGACAAATGCTCGCAGCTACACAAAACAATCACCATGACGACATCAGCTAACAGCAGGGGCTCCAGGAGTCCCCTCCTGGTCACGCACAAGCTCCAAGGAATGGTGCTACGGGGAGCTGGTCCCAAAATGAGCGATTCTTGGTGAGGTTTTGAAGGAAACAAGGTGACCGCTTCATCAATTTCCAGGGCACGTGCATTCGCGATGCTCCCTGGAATCACTCAGGGTGTCGAGTCCACAGCGCACTTAGGGGAGGGCTCAGTAATCACAGCAGACTCTGCACCTTCGAGGGCCCGAGGTTACTGAGAGTCAAGTACCACTGAAGTTTCCATCACTGCAGGACCTCCAAGCCTGTGCCCCAAATGCAGAAGTCCCTGTCACTGCAACACCCCACCCACCTCCTCAAGTTTGCCGAGGGTCACAGGGGATGCTGCTCCAACTCTGAGCTCTGGGGCAGCCCTCACCTCCTCTGGGAAGCCCCCGGGCTTGGGCAGGGTCCCTTCTTTCACTACCAATTGTGGGCTTCCTGATGCCCAGGAAGGTGTCCTGCCCCAGGAGTGCCTGTCAGGCCAGGGCTCTCCCTTGTTGCCCTAGGAGCCAGCCTCCTGTGCTCACTCCAGTCAGGGGACAACTCTGGGGTCTGCCCACCGGCCCTCCGCATCTAGGGCAGCAGTCTGCGTGTGCCTGGAAGCAGATGACAGCCCCCCTTGCAGGGTTGTGGTGAGAATGACAGGACTGATGTGGAGCCCTGTAGTACAGCTCTGGCTACACCTGAGCATGCCACACCTGCCACCAGGCCTCCTTTCTCCTCTGCTGGGGCTGGTTCAGGTCTGCAAGCCTTGCAGTGGGTGACCCAGACCAAAAAGTGACCCTGCTGGAGGGAGACCAGGCCGCCGGCTTTCAGGACCAGACAGGTACTTGTGTGTTGAGAGGTGCTTTCCCTTCTCTGTCCAGGTGGACAGGAAGTTGCACCCTGCCGCCCAGCCCTGCCCGGTGCCCTTGGTGAGAGGAATGCAGGGTGCGGGAGAGGAGCCCAGAGCACGTGGGGGTGAGGGAGAGCGAGCCAGACACGAGTGACCAGTCTCAGACCGTGTGCGAGCCTAAGGGCAGGG